TTAAATGATTCGATTTAGTCACTAACTTATTTAAAGCCAGTTAGTCCAAGTTCCGTAGCTACTAAGAAGCTGCTCATGCTCAAATATTGTAATTTGAAAGTTAGCATTTAACTCTTGCCCACTGAATGTCGACTTCGATATTTAAAATGCCTTTTATAACAGCAAAATATTTAAAAATTAATTGGCAAACAGTTTAATCAAGAGAGAGAATAGAGCAGGAAAGAGGGAACAGAACAAACTCATCAGGAAGTGTAGCCTACGTTATTCAAAATAAAATTCGTATTTTATAAGCTCTAAAAATCACTAAATTATATGTTAGGGAATTTATCTCTATATTGATCTATACTTCTACTCTTTCTCGTTACAATCAGAATGAGTTTATTTTATATATTCTTCTCCTACTAGCTTAGAGGTCAAAGAACAGATTTACACCCATAAACTTTTACAATTTTATAACTAACTAAGGCTCAACAATCCATTAGAATCTAATGCATTACAGTAGGAAGCGCCCAAACATCCAATTGACAATTAAAAGTTCAATATAAACATATCTTTAAATCAGTTTGGCATGCGACAATGGCTTGTGTAGCATTATTTTGGGGTTAGTTAGATCTCAATATGTTGATGGGAGTTGCACAGAGAATTAGCTATTTCTGTGACAGCACTGGAACTAATTTGAAGATAGGTCTTGGGTCTATATATAAGACGGCGAACGTCCAGTTATCAGCAGCAGCTAGAGCAGCAACAGCAGCTGGTGGGTGCTAGGCTTGACAATTGTCGCCCCCCTTGTTTTGCGGTGCACCCCTTGGCGCAATTTACAACACTTGCTGGCAGCACACACCAGCATTATCAGTGCTGAACGATCTTGGTTTGGGTACCATAGATACGAATGGGCTGATATAAGAGAAAATAATGGACGCGTAGACAGGCGTGGCTGTTGTCTCTGTGTCTCTGTGTCTCTCTGTCGTCCGTCCTTTGTCCTCTTTCATATATAAAATGAATTTCAATTTTGAAAAATTGCCTTTCGAATGCTTGTGTGAAAAACGGAAATGCCATTTTCCCTCCACCCCCCAATCTAATGCCACTCGTCACTCGCACACTTGGCCCTTTTGTTGTTTCCTCTCCGGCTCTGAGTCGAGGAGCGTGCGCCCAAATTAGAAACCAAATGCAGAAAGCGTCAAGCGCGGGGGCGGGGGTTGACACTTTTAGTTTTGTGTTTTTCCACATTATGTGCGGGTACACGTTCGCAGTTTTTCTATGAAAAGTAACGGAACTGCCAACTGTGAACTGTGTCGACACATGGAAAAACTAAGAAACAATTGCCGCTGCCCGCTCAAGATGCACGCACACGAAATGTTGCACCGACCCCTACGAAAAAACCTTCAGAATTAACATATATTCACCTAAAGGTTTTTATTGCTAAATCCTTAATATGTGGGAAACTGTGTGCCAGTGTGCACAGTGTTTAGAATTTCGTATTTTAATTATCGGTTGCATGTCACCGCCTTTTCAATACCTTCATTACGAACGCCTACTTTTCGCTATAATTAAGCGCGCCTAAATATAAATACGTATACAGAAAACTCTACCCAGAGACCGGGTTTTAATTGCTTCCCCCAGCTGTCTATTTAAAACTATCTACCGAAAATTCAAGAGGTGTGCGCGCTGCGAGTGATAAACACAATTTTATTCAAATTACCCGGATGTTAACAATTTGCTGCGCGCCAAGTCTTTGAACAGTGCCAGCAGCCGAACCAAAGTTGATTTATGAATATAATTTGAAAACAAGGTGGCCCTAGCTCGGCTCGAACTCTCAGGGATTGCTACCAATCGGGACCATGCGAAACGCACTGCTATTGTAAAATAACCATGTCATGGGAATTCTCGAAAGACTGTACCACAGACGATTATTCTTTGAATGGAAGCTAAGCGCGAGATTAAAGGTAAAGTCTGGAAAACACCGATATATGCTGATACGATATTAAGAGGAGTCTTTTGTGGAGTATAACTTCTTAGTTGTGGAGGAGTCTTTGATATGCTTAAGTATAATGCATGCTGCGTGCTGTATGTTGTATGATGTATGATGTATGATGAATTCTGTGTGCTGTATGATATATGATATATGATGTATGATGTGCGAAATATGATGTATGATGTATGATGTATGATGTATGATGTATGATGTATGATGTATGATGTATGATTTATGATGTATGATGTATGATGTATGATTTATGATGTATGATGTATGATGTATGATTTATGATGTATGATTTATGATGTATGATGTATGATGTATGATTTATGATGTATGATGTATGCTGTATGATGTATGATGTATGATGTATGATATATTCTGTGTGATGTATGCTGTATGATGTATGATGTATGATGTATTATGTGTGCTGTATGTTATATGATATATGATGTATGATGCATGCTGTATGCTGTATGCTGTGTGCTGTACGTTGTATGCTGTATGCTGTATTCTGAATGCTGTTTGCATTTTGTTTCCTTCAAAAAGTATTTATTAATTTGATTTGTGATTGATTGTGGTTACCAAATCTTAATAGAAAGAGATTTAATGGAGTTAACAAGCGAGCTAGGAATATTATATTTTTGCACACATTTGACGACACTGCGTTGTTTCAGATATGACTCATAGTTTTCCTCCTTCAGTCCATATACCATACATCACTACGTGCAACTGCTTAAGGGCCCTGGCAGCATTTTTGCCTAGTCATTCCAACAAGCAGTCGGGTCACCATGGGCAACGGCTGCAAAGCAAATTGCAAGTCGAAGCCAGCAACGCACCCAACTGTGGATGCAAGCAACCCTTTCGACGTTGACTGAACAAAAGCCTAAAAACAAATCAACAGCAACTTTTACAATATGGCCCATTGAATGGCAGACTTTAACCCGATCCATGGGTCCACACCCCATCAAGCCACTACAGAGCATCAGATATACCCTGCTTCTTCTTCTTCTTCATCTTCATCTCTGCTGAGCTGGGGATAACTACGTACAAACAATGAACTCATAACTCAAGTGACACTTTTTAACTTGACTGCATTTCATCATGTGGCACATGAGCGCTTCTTCTTCATCGTATTCTTCTTCTTCTGCTGTCTTCATCTGCGTCTTGGACTTGAGTTGCCGCTTGCCGCTTGCCGTTTGGTTCTTGGCTTTTGTATACCCTAACTGTGGCCATTGTACCAAGTTCAGCAGATGTGTAGCCCATAGATGCTGGCCTTGTATAAATATGTTTATTAGAGTGCTAAAATATATATTTGATATTCTTGGACCAGTTATTTTCTTTAGCCGAAGAATATATTAGTTACAATCTATAAGACTTAGCTCAAATAGTAAAGCATCATCTATTAAATATATCCATTTGTCTTTATCTGTTTTATATATCTGTAAGGGTATATCCACTGCGCCATCTCTACGACAACATCTTTATCTTTCGCTTTTTTTTTCGTCTTGTTTTCAGTTTCAACAATATTCAAATTGAGTTTTCCAGTGCAGGCAACGACTGTAGTCATCCATCGTCAAAGTTTCTTTTTGTTCCTGTTGTCATTGTTGTTGTTGCTGCTGTTGTTGTTGTTGTTGCTTGTATTTGTTAGTTGATAAAAGGCCAAGCCATTATATGCATGGCCAAGCTGCACAATTTCAAGTGCCGCCTCTGTCCAGGTTCCAAGTCGAAGTCACAGTCGAAGGTGGAGTGGAGTGGGGGGCTTCACAACAAATTTCGTATGCATACGGCTGCTATGACTACCGCCTGGTGCGGGGTTTGGGCTTGTTCTTGGGTCGAACTTCAACTCCAACTACGACCCGGCCTTTCCTTTCAATTCAAAGTAGCTCAGCCCAGCTCAGCTCAACTCGAACTCTTCTCGAATCTCTTTTTTCAAATTGGAAACGCGCGCGTTCTCTGTCCTTCAAAGAATTTCTTTTCTTCGACAATTTTTGTTTTGTTTCTTTTTATTTTTTTTACACATACTACGTACAAAATTTCGTTGTCTCATGTCGCCAGGGCTTGTCAACCTGCACCTTCTTCTTCTACAGCATCTCAACCCCATTGCAAGTGCAATGAACTGCTGCGCGCTTGCAGGCTGGCGGCGTTGATTTATGTTACATCTTCTATGATGACATTGGTCCAAGAGTCCCCACCACCACCACTTCGACTCTTTGCCTTTCGATTCAGTGCAGTCGCTTGTAACCATAAGCGCAGCTCATATGTTACAAACAGAGAGAGAGAGGGGAGAGGAGCGCACACACGCACATGTGAAAATGATTTATTAGCGGTAATTGGTGTCACAATGTTCCAAAGAAAATGAAAAGGATTGCCATATCCCATTGCCCATGGCCATGACCAGCTTCTTCAGCTACAACATCCCGCATTCCCAGTGGCCCCCTCCCACTCGCAGCGTTGTTTTAATTATCTTGATTTTAAACTTATTAAAATTGACAAATGATATTCGTAGACAACATCGCGCTGCTGTCTTGCAGGAAACAGGTTGTCAATGGCTGCTTCCTAGAACTCTGTGACTCTTGATAAATCACATTGAGGTAGATTCCATTGGGGACCATCATCATCCACGGCAACAGTTCGTGGGGGATTTTCATAAGGCATTGGTCAGTGGCATTCTCAGTGCTGTCATCTGGCTGGGATGATGGAACACACCTTGTGCGCAGAACTCGTTGATCTCTCACAATACGAAGCACAACGATAACATTTGAGATTAACAAATGCCAGATTAGAATACACAATTCCAAGCTATTCAGTCACAGGTAGATCTCCATCAGAATCAGTCTATACCTTTGTGTAAAATCGTTCTATACGCTATGTTAAGGAACAGCTAAAATTGAAAATTGTTAAACAAAATGAAAAAATATTAATTTGAGATCCGTTGCAATTCCCAGTGCTTCGCCTTTCACTTTCACTGAATTTGTATTGAAATTCCGATCATAATTAATCTAATTTGAAACACTTTCGCGCTTTTGCTGCCCAACACCAAAATATTTAATACATTATACAAAGATACACGTAACGAACATTTATTGAACATTTATCAAACACCTCCGAGCACGGCTGATTTAAATGTATTATGCAAGGATAACTCTGTTTAGTGGCTGCCCATGACGGCCTTGTGCTCCTTGAGGCACATGAAGATCTTGAATGCGGTATCGCAATCGTTGGAGCCTTTAATATTTTTGCAGGCATTCACACCGGATGTGATTTCGCTCATTCTATCCTTCATTTGTGGCACGTTCTTCAAGGTGTCCAGCAGAGCGTCCGCATTTAATTGTCCATTGACTAGATGACCCTGTTTCTCCATCAGACACTTCGCATAACATTTGAGATTCTCATTGGCATTACCGTTCATGCCATTGCTCATGAACGCCTTCAGCTCGGCCTCCGTTAATTTCGTCTCGTCCATGCACTGTTTCATTAGCTGCTGGAAATTCGGATTGCACTGCAAACAGCAAACGGCAATTGGCAAATAGCAAATGAAAGCTTCAATTGAACTGGGTTTGCTACACTAAGGTTAGTAGTCGGATGAAGTTACCTGGACAGCCGATATAGCGATGACTAGCAGAGTTGCTGCACATAGGGTTGCCTTCATTTTGATCTGATCTGTTGTTACAGCTGGGACTGTTGTGGATAAACTGACGAAACTCTGCTCTGTTTTTATAGGGTCCCCTGAACAACAACTGAGTGCAATTAAGGCAATTACAGTTTTTGCAACTAGTTCACAATTTGATTACGCACAATGCATCACTTGTTTCGTAATCGAATTTCGCTATGAAATACCCTGTTTTTTCACATTGGGTAAAAGGGCACAGACAGCACAGAAGGGAAGGGCAGGCGGAAAGGGGCAGGAACGACAAGGAGCGAGACGAGGCGCAGCAAAGAAGAGGCCGAGGGAGGGAAGGACACGGGGAAAGAAGAGGAGGGGGGGGGGAACGGGGGGGGAACAGACAAGAGAGGGAGAGAAAGAGGGAGAGGGAGAGGGAGAGGGAGAGGAGGGGGAGAGGGAGAGGGGAGAGGGAGAGGGAGGAGGGAGAGGGAGAGGGAGAGGGAGAGGAGAGGGAGAGGGAGAGGGAGAGGGAGAGGGAGAGGGAGAGGGAGAGGGAGAGGGAGAGGGAGAGGGAGAGGGAGAGGGAGAGGGAGAGGGAGAGGGAGAGGGAGAGGGAGAGGGAGAGGAGAGGGAGAGGGAGAGGGAGAGGGAGAGGGAGAGGGAGAGGAGAGGAGAGAAGAGGGAGAGGGAGAGGGAGAGGGAGAGGGAGAGGGAGAGGGAGAGGGAGAGAAAGAGGGAGAGGGAGAGGGAGAGGGAGAGGGAGAGGGAGAGGGAGAGGCAGAGGGAGAGGGAGAGGGAGAGAAAGAGGGAGAGGGAGAGGGAGAGGGAGAGGGAGACGGAGAGGGAGAGGGAGAGGGAGAGGGAGAGGGAGAGGGAGAGGGAGAGGGAGAGGAGAGGGAGAGGAGAGGGAGAGGGAGAGGGAGAGGGAGAGGGAGAGGAGAGGGAGAGGGAGAGGGAGAGGGAGAGGGAGAGGATAGGAGATGGAGAGGTATATTTAGAGGTAGGTATATGTAGAGTGTGAGAGTTATATTGAGATGTATATTGATGATGTGAGAGGTTAGAGTAGAGTAGATATATGATAGTATAGTATATTTAGATTTATATTGATATTTATATTATTTATATTTATATTTATATTTATATTTATATTTATATTTATATTTATATTTATATTTAGTTATATTTATTTTTATATTTATATTTATATTTATATGTATATTTATATTTATATTTATGTTTATATTTATATTTACACGGTTACAGGTCATTCATTCAGTCGCATATTATCAAAATTTGTTTTATTTTTAACTTTGTAATTAGATTTTAGTTAAAACTAACAGCTATATCTATGACGCAATACATCTGTCGGCGACTGGGATTGTATAACACGGGACGCACTCACACACACACACACACCCACACACTCACACACATACTCACGCATACACAACAGCAATTAAATTATTAATGTATTGTTCTGTGTATGTCTGTGTGTGTAATTGTAGCTTTTGTTTAAGCCTTTGTCTAAATTATTCAACTAGACGAAAATTACAAATTTGTTGTGCGCTTTTTACACTTGACCAACAAATCCGCAGATAATTTAAATGTTGCTCTCAAATGCCTAACCAATGACAATTGCAGATTTTTTGGCCAAGGCCTAATTAAATAATCACCAAATTATCAGAGCCCCTCCGCCTGCCTCTGTTATATGAAATGTGAATCAAGCGAGTTATTAGTTATGGTCAATTGTTGTGCCATAATTTGACAACCATCAATGAAAAAACCAATTTGAATTATATCTTTGGATAACAGCAATTGTAATCAGTCTTGCAATTAATAAAATAATTGGTCATCCAAAACTCTTAATTGACACGTGTCGACAATATGCCAAAATATATTTAAATATATATAACACTTAGAAAATAAAATCGTTAAATATTAAAATATTTCTGTAAAATTTTGAATACTGAATTTCGGAATGAGAAAAATTCTCACTATTTTTGGCTTATTTAAAATAAACTTGTATATACATATACCTCATATATACATAACACATATTTATATATTTAGCATCTCAATGAATAATATTATTCTACATAAATCAATATTTACACTTTTAATCTATGTCAATAAATCGCATCAAAGTGATTTCGCTATGGCAACTAAAAATATACAATTAAATAGACAAACTAAGTCCCCTTTGAACTTTCATCGATCGCTAAAGCATAAATGTATAACTTGTCTAATACTTTTGGCCACATTCAAATCAATAGGCCAAACAATAAGTCGAGCCAAATGCCATTCGCAGGAGTCGATACGTTCAAGCTATGGCTGTAAAAGCAATGCTGACAGTGAAAATAATTTATGCCTTTGTTATAAAATGCGCACCTGCTCTGGACTCTGGACTCTGTACTCTGTACTCTGGGCTCTGGGCAGTGGCCCTTGCCACTTGTCACGCCCATTTGGCCGACACTGGGGTGCAGCCCCTCTCAGTAGTTGCTGCTGCTTGTAAGTTGGCTTTTTACCAGGCAGCAATAAGACAAACGCCATTAAAGCCAAGGAACTGGAACTGAAATGGAGCGGCGAAATGGAGTTGGAGACGGGCAGGGAGACGTAGAGGAAGTTGGTTAAGCTGGCCAATGACTATGAGTAAGAGTCGTTGACAAAAAGGCAGAAGAACCTGAAGACAGGATGCGGCAGGAATTGGCAACGTGCTGCTGGCTGGCTGCTTGTCATTAGTCAGCCAAGGATAAGCAAAAGGACATGGCCATAAAAAGGGCAATGCGAGCCGAGTGAGGCAACTAAAGGTGTGTCCTGTGAATGAATTGCTGAGTAACCAATAATGAAGTAAACTGTGCTCGAGCGTCCTGAATGTGTCATTGTGGCCAGAACGAAACTCAACCGAAGCACAATTCACTGTCAGTTGCATTGTTTTGACCTGATTTACATGCCGAACCCAACTACAGACCAATAGAACAGCCAAGCGACTGTTCAACACACACAGAAGAAGAGAGAGAGAAAGAAGGAGAGCAAAAGAGACATAGATAGGATAGTCTTGTGGACATTTATAAATTACAAAAGGACAACTGCTACTGCTGCCAGCCAGAACTCGCAGACGCCGATGACAGGGCCAAAACAAAGGCCAACGTTAATGAGCCAAGAGAATGGCGCGAGCCGTAACAAACGCTCCAGCTCCAAATAGAAGCGGTCGCAAATTGTAAGAAAGCAGAAACTGTGTCACAATGTTTTGACACAGAGCAAAAGGAAGCGCCAGGATAAAGCCAGAGGGAGACCAGACGGCAGCAGCAAGACTAGCTAGTTAAGGCAACAGACAAAGTTGATAAAATTAGATTTGTATGGTAAATAGTTTCGTGGCTTGGCAGCAGTTGCTGTCGCATCCTGTTCTGTTCCACTTCCTCAGCCCTAGAGTTTAATAAATGTATAAAATTAATTAGCCAGTTGAATGTTCATTAACAGCTGGCTAGACAACAAACAACTGACAACTGTATTAAGCTCCCCACACCCTGGCCCAACCCCCTTACTTAGCACCCTCTCGCCAAGCTCTTCTGCTTGCTTCTAGTCGGCGCTTTTTGATGCTCGCAACGGGTTGCTTCAAGCTGAAATTCCTACTTAGCACTCATAATTCAATTTTGATACAAAAAAGAACCACACCAACTGCTCTCTGCTCTCTTTTCCCGACTGTATTTTTCACACCTATCGCGGCCACGCCACCCGCTGTGTGTGTTTTAACCATTAAAAAGAAAAAAGGAAATAAAAACGGAAAGTGAAAAACTCCCTAAATTTTGACCTTTAACAATCGTTATTGTAGGAGCCTCATGTTGTGAAGGTTTCGTATTCATTTCTTCTTTCTTTTATTGCTATTATTATTGTTGCATTGGTTGCAGCAAACAGCGCTAACCACAAAAGTGCCGGACAGCAGGAAATGAAATCAAAATTATTTTTGGGCATTGTGGTAGAGTAATTGGTTTTTCAGTCAAATTCCATTAAATACAAAAGACCAAATGCTGCTGCGGGGAGAATATTACGATGAAGGATATTGAACGGAAATAATATTAAAGCAGCATAGCTAATAGATTACACAAGATGAGATACCAGCGGAGGAAAGCACAGGAAACAGCGAGTGGCTCAAAAATTATTTGCGGTTTCGTTTGAGCTTTAAATACATAAATAACTAATGAAACATTAATATGAAAATTTATTTCTAAAAGTAATTATAATTGTTATAAATGTGTCAAAAGGTTAATTAATTTCTGTAAGTATTTCAGATTTATCAGAAGGCTAAGCTTACAGCTTTTAAGAGGTTTTTATATACATCTAAGTATATATATAAATATATAATATATATTTATTAAAATTATAACAATTTCTAAATAGTATAATTTAATAAATATTATATATAAACATAATATAATATAATATGATTTATCTTATTTAAAATATACTATTTCAATTAAATGTATTGTAAATCGAATAATTTTGCTATGCCCAAAAAATGTTCTATTAGATTTTCGATGACAACTGAAGTCTGAATACTTGTAAAATTTAATTTATATAATTCACAGCCAACACTTTTCGCCATTGGCAGCTGTAATTGAAATTGGGTGTGCGCATGTGTGTGCGTGTGGGTGTGTGTGTGCGCGCGTGTATGAGCATTCTACAGCACTTGAAGCTATTTGGCAGTCAAAGACACAAATACTCAAGAGGGAAAAAATATCGAGAAAGATTAAAAAGCGAACGAGCAGAGTTATTGAAATTAAACATCAAATGTCAGCAGCAGGCGAAGTGAAAAAAAAATGAGGGAAGGCCAAGGCACGCACAAAAGCGCAAAAGTCCTGCCACATGCAACACAGCGCAAGAGAGAGGGCGAGAGGAAAAATGAAGAAAATGGCTGCCACTTGGCTGACAAGTTGCAAAAGAGCAAGCAATTTGAATTTGTGTGGCAATGGAGAGCTGCGAAGAAGTTTTTTTCTTTGCCAAAAATAAAGTCGATGCAAGGCGCCAGTATCGAAGACAATTGCCACAGCAAATGAAATCAAGCACGAGCAGCAGCAGCAACAGGAGCAGGAGCAGGAGCAGGAGCTGTGGCTCCAAGGGGAACAACTAAATACGACGACAAGGGCTGCGCGCACAAATACAATTTACATGCGTACGTGTGACAGGGCAGGCTGGATGGCTGGCTGGCTG